GTGAGATATTCGGCGAGTCGCATGAAGGGTGCGCTGCATCCTGCTAAGGGTGTTCGGCATCTTGTGCTTACTTCCTTGCGTACGGATGACAGCTGCGTATGACTTAATTTACTTTCTGGTGCTTTTACTTCCAGAGACAGTTATAACCTCTGTGTAGCTGCCTCGAGGGTGCTTGACCAAATGAACAAAACGTGGTGCTATCATCCCCCTTGCGCGGAGTGAGGGTTCTCGACCCCGTAAAACATAATCTACTCGACCACCATTATGGTTACCGCAAAAAAAAAAAAAACAGAGGCACGGCGGGGCAGACAATAGTAGTGGTCGTTGTAGCCGTTTTGAAGAGAATGGGATGAGTAACACGGAGACATGTGGTCGAACAAGCAACTCGACAGCAGTGAGAGAAGCAGCAAAAGCGGCGGCGGCGGGTCGGTCTCACACAACCCTACATATCCTACTGCTTTTGTAGCGTTCGCCGTACCCTATCAGGTGCCTGCACTACTGCAGCACTGACCAGGACCCTCTGCTCACTCCTCCCTTCCCACCCCAGCCACATAACTCACCTCCAAAAACCTCGGCAGGATAAAGGCGACGGTGGTCGACAGCAGCTTCCCCAGCAGGGCGCGAACGAGCCGCCACGGCAGCAGCGTGTTGTACGGCGGCGGCAGCAGCACCTGGACCTTTATTTCCGTGTCGCAAAACACGGTCGCCGGCTCCACGTCTGCCGCAAGCTCCCCGTCCGTTGGCGGCTCCACCGCGGAGGCCTCCGCCTCGCCCGCGGCTACCGCCGGTGGAACCACTACACCGCCGTCGCCGCGGACATCCCCGACACCCCCCGTCGCCTCTCCGCCGCCATCTGCGCCCTCCCCCGGTCCCGCCGCCGCTGTCGAAGGCGGCAGTGCCGGCTCCGCCTCCGGCCGTGGGCGGCGAGCGAACGTCCCGGCGAATCCCCCCCTGCCTCTTTGCCGCCGAGGCGTTAGGGATGCATCCCCGTCGACCCACCCGAGGCGCGCGTCGAATCCGACTCGAAAGTACTCCACCTGGCTGGACCCCGCGTCGGGCCAGGGGTTGGTGCTGGCTGGTGGTTGGGGTGAAGAAGGCCGGTGGGTGGAAAACAGAGGATTCCAGTTATCGCGATGAGCTCATCAACGTGTCCGGCAGCTCGGCTTACGAGGTCAGCGCAACGTGAGACGGCTCCTGGACACAAAGACACACACAGAGTGCTCGTGTTTGTTATCCGGCTGCAAGGCCGAAGTTTTTTCGTTGGTCAGCCGGTGACCGCGGTACAGCAGCAGACGCAAAATTCCAACAAAAATGCCCCCACCTTCCTCGCCAGGCTTCCCCACGTTGCCGTACAGCGTCGAGCGCGTCGACCGGAAAACGACAGCCCCGGCTGGGCGGTCCAGCTCGACCTCGACCTCCATGGTCGGCGTGAAATCCAGGCCTACAAAGTCTTTCAGGGGTATCTGATGGGCGGGAAGCGGAGCGCGCGCAGAGATAGGAGGATCGGAAAGGGGTGCGGGGAGGGGAAGGGGCGAATGGGATCCAGCGCCAGGAAGCACGACCGGCAGCGGCGGCGGCGGCGAGGCAGAAAGGGTGGCAGCAACGTTCTCGCGTTGCATGCAACGCCGTTCTCGGCAAGGCGGCGCAAGATTACAGAAGGCGACATTTAGCTGCTGCGACAGCAGTCACTTCCAAGACCCGGAACGAATGCTCTGCCCTTGTCCATCCATGAGTGGGTCATGTTGCTTGGCGTAGACTTTCCATCAATCCGTGCTGATGGCCCCCTGTCCGGGGCAAGCGCGGAGAGGGGAAGTGCACTATCCGCATTTGCTGTCACTCCTTCCGCACTGCTGTGTGTACAAGACACAAGAAAATACAGTAGGGGGCCCTCTATAGTGCCGGTATGTGTTCAGAGAGCAAAGCGGCACTATACCGGGCACCGGCACTATCGAGAGTACAGAAAGACTTGATATTCGGGTGTGTGGGAGCCGAAAACACCGGCACTATACCGGCAACCGGCACTATTCAACCGGCACTATATCGGGCCACCCACTGTATGTATATTGGCACCTGAGCCCAACCTTTGGCTTTCTTCTCCAGGTATCATGTCTTAACAGTATGAATGTACTCCTACTTCCTGCTCGGATTAACTGCAAGGTCTCCGATACTAAACAAAATCTTAATCGGTCCAGGGCGTGCGACATATTTTGTCGCGAATGGGTATCTCACCGCGTTCTCGGCTACGCACCTGGAATCGAAACGAAGTATCGGAAACCCGCCGTATGATGCTGCTGTCGAGCAGGCTGTACTCCGAAACGGGGAGAGTCATGTACGCCTGCAGGTCAGAGAAGGGCCCGTCAACCACAACGGCCGCCGAGGCCCCGGTTTTCGCTCGAAGGAGCCGGTTCGCGCTGCTGCTGCTGCTGCTGCTGCTGCTCTTCCTGTGCCCGTACACATCATGGTTGTGACAATGGCACATTGTTGACGTGTAGCAGCGGATACGACATGGAACGAGAGAGAACGAGGGAGAGAGAGCGAGAGAGGGAAGAGAAGGACAGAGAGATGAGGGGGGGGAGGGAGAGAGACCGGCTTGAACAGGAGTGACTAAGTGCACGTGATCGGCGGGTTTCCGGTGTACAGTCGCTCTGCTGGCCTGCTGCAACGGAGGTACGTATCAGTAATTTTGAACCCCAGCAGCAGCCGTGAGCACCATCGTTCTTCTTGCCGGAATTTTCTGGGCGAGAGTCCATTGCCTGGCAGATCTTCCGTGTCTGCGTGCCCTCCTTCGCCTTCTATGTCCTCCTCCTCCTCGTCACTGCTGCCGTCGTCTTTATCCGCTTGGCCCACGGCCGAAGTGAAGTGCCCTCCGAAAGAGTTGCCTACCGCCAGAGGGACGCACGCGATAGGCGGTGGTGGTGGGATACGGGCGTAAGGAAGGGAGGTATTCATAACTGCTGGTTTGTAACGCACAAAACGGGTTGGTGTTCCGAATGAAACGGTTCAACCACACGACGCATCGAAGCTTTGGTTCACAAAATTTGCAGGTAACAGCTCCATTGATCCTGCTGCTGCTGCAGCTACCCCCTGCGCACGCTGTAAATCGCAGCCGAACGGCGGTGGGGCCATTGGTATTACTAGTGCGCATGGGGTGTTGGAAGTGCACTCAACCGTCGAGATTCGTTTTGCTTGAATTAATTAAGAAATTCAGACTCAAGGCTCACATGCTACCGCCGCCTTCTCTTACCATCGGACACGCCATTGCCAACGCTCCCGAACATGTCCCCCGTGGCTAAGATGTTCCCTAGAGCGCGGTTTAATGCCCTGGAAACTCTCTGACGTGGGTTCCTTCTGATGCTGCTGCTGCCTGCCGCCGCCGCCGCCGCCGCCGCCGCAGCTTCACCAGCAGTCGCCGCCGCTGCTGCCGTGTCAGGTTTGCCCGCAGTCGCTGCCATGACTACATGCTGACTGCAACATGGCCTGCTGCCGGACAACCTCGCACGCCCTCTTCCTCCGCGTCTGGGGTTGATGGCAGAGGAGTAGGTGCACCCCTGGGGCGGCCGGCCTGAGAAAATGCTCCTGGTGCATCGCTGCTGCTGCTGAGCATGCTGAGCACTTCGATGAGGCAGAATGCAGAAGCTGAAGGCTGCTGAAGGAGCGAGGAATGTAATCAGTGTTGCTGCCTTCTTCGCTCTCATGGCGATTGTTGCGGACTCTTTGCCGCACGCAGAGAGCGCAAGAGATGCACGCAGAAAGAATCCGCTGTGCGAGGTGTGCGCGAGAGGGAGAGGTATGTCGTCGCTGCTGCGTCGTCCCACGCAGCAGGTCGGGCAATTGTTGCTCGTGTTGTGTCAGCCAGCAGCAGCACAAAGATGATCGGTGGAGGGGGGGCCGGCGGAGGGGAATCCTTCTTCGGGGCTCCAAGCCCGTCGCCCCGCAGCAATGAATGGTACAGCAGTATACATACCGCCTCCACCGGTGACCATCGAAGCCACGGGACAGAAATACGCCCAGACGACCGAGTTCCGGTACCTCGGTGGCCTCGCCAACGAATATGGCGACCTCACCCGGGAGATAGATCAACTACAGGAGCAGAGGAGCGTGGACGTGCCTCAGGCGATATGGCCGGGAGCTCTTCGACAGACCGCAAGCGCCATTCCGACTCAAGATCCGCCTGCTCCAGGCGGAGGCGATGGCGGCACTGCTGTACGGTTGCATGACATGGTCACCACTCAGCGGCCACTATCAGACGCTGCGGTCGATACACCACCGACTGCTCCTTCGAGTTATCGGGTACAAGCGCAAGAATGGCACCTACCGGCAGCTCTCATACGCCCAGACGCTTAAGAGGGTCGAATCCCAGAGAGTTGAAGCCACGATCCGACAACGACGCCTACTGTTCGCGGGAGCATTGGCAAGGCAGCCGGACGGGCAACTCCCGAAACGACTGATGTTCGGCGAACTGGAAGGGGGGGAGAAGCGACGTAGGGGGGGACAGGAACAGAACTGGCCGAATTGTGTGCTCGACGACCTGAAGAAGGCATTCGGGACCGACCACGGATCTACGAAAACCGATCCATGTTGTTTCGGAATCCCGGTACCGAAAGACACGGCACCGACGTTAAAGTGGACGGAAGCCGCGAAGGTAGAGGGGGGAGTACCCTGGCATGCGGCGGGGCTGCAGAGAGCTGAGAGGTTCATGACCTCCTGGCACGAGAAGGAAGAAGAGGCCAGCCGACAACGGGCGCTCAAACGAAACCACAAGCCACCAACCAATGATGGGGCGCGAGGGGGGCACGAGACGGCGAGGGAAGAAAGCATACGACAAGAGACGGACCGAGTGGCGCGATACGTGCCGGATTGAATTTCTTTTAGCTAATTCCCCCCCCCTCAACGCTGCACCGTTACACCAACCCCCCACTAGTGATGACGTACCATTATTACAGTGTATCGCTGGTTGGTGGCGATGCGTGTTTACTTACTTGTCGTTTGTGGTCTCTCCACCGTGTGCCTTTTTCTGTCTCTTATTTCTTGTTTCGGCCTGGACCCTTTTTGTCCTCGCTCTTTTCATTTCATTATTCTCTTTCCTTAATGTTTCCTCTTACTTCTTCTCTTTTTCTTTTTTCTCTTTTTCTCATTTTCTCTCTTTTTCTCTTGTTTTTTCTCTCTTTTTCTTCTTCTGTGCCAGATGGCCTTGTCTCTGCTTGCGTTGTAAAGTACCAAGATTGAACCAAGGGGGTGTACCTCCTTCTCTCCGGCCCGTAATGGTGACTCCTAGTCTCACTCAGTTGTTACCTCGTATAGCAGCTCCCTTCTTCCCCTCGCTCCTCGACAAGCTTTTGCTTAGACATGGGTTGTAGCTGTCTCTTATACACATCTAGATGTGTATAAGAGACAG